CCCATGTGTGACTGGTGTCTTTCCAGCTTCTGCCCTGGTGGTGAATCTGGGAGTGAGTGGGTTTGCTACATACTAACACTATGCTGGCCCTTTAGCAGTGAAATCTGGCAGTGTCTTCTGCTGTCCCAACCCCCACTGGTTTTTACAGCCCAAGGTAATGGAGATCTATCTTACCGGTGCTGGAACGCTGGGCTGTGCAGCCTGGGACTGGGATCACTCACTCGGAAAGTATTTCTCCTGTCCGTTCTGCCACTGCCACAGCCACTGCTGCCTTCAGCACCACATTGCCTCTCTGCCCATCTCCTTGACTCTACCCCTCCTACCCATCTGGATGAATGTGTCTTCTTTAATTTCTTGGTTGTGGGACCTCCATGCAGCTCAATTTTCTGATGGTTCTGTGTGTTACTAGTTTTGAGACGTGGTTGTAATTCTTTCTATGGTTGTGCAAGGAGGTGATTTGTGTCTGCCCATGCCTCCATCTTGACTGGAAATCCATTCTTTATTATTTTCCCTATATTCCTGCCTTCTTTGGATTTTTATCATTTCATTTTACCTCCATTATTGGTTTATTAGTTATACTTCTTTTAAAAAGATTTTAGTGGTTGATCTAAGGTTTAATATACATCTTTAATTTATCATAGTCTACCTTCAAGTACTCTTATGTCACTCATGTAGAGTGAAAGAACCGTATGGTAGTATACTTCCATTTCTTTCCTCTTGCCTTTTGTGGTGTTGTCATTCATTTTAATTTTACATAAAATTCCCGTAAAGTATTACAACTAGTTTTGCTTTTGGCAATTACCTTATAAAGTGATTAACATAATTTAAAAAATATTTACTTTTTTTTATCATTTCTAGAGCTATTATTTTCTTTGTGGATTCATATTTCCATCTGTTGTACTCTTCCCGCCTAAGAACTTTTTTAAACATTTATTACAGTGAAAGTCTACTGGAAATGAAAAAAAAAAGCTTCATTTGCCTTCATTTTTTGAGAGATATTGTAGCTGGGTATAGAATTATGGATTGATAGTATTTTTCTTTCACTTTACTTCAAAGATGTCACTCCATTATTTTCTGGCTTACATGGTTTCTAACAAGAAATCTACTCTAAGTTTTATTCCTCTTTTTGCAATGTGTCATTTTCCCCTGACTGCCTTTGAGATTTTTCTCTATATCTTCTGTTTTCATTCATTTTGAAAAATTCTCTACTTTATATCTTAAAATATTTCCTGCCACCATCAGCACGGAGTGGTGGTCCCTGAGCGGGGGCAACAGGAGATTGAGAAAGACACAACACAAACAGTTTAGAGAAAAGCAGGAGCCAGGTGGGGCTTTGTCCTCTGATGGAGAGACAATGACCCTGAACACAGTCTCTGCATTTATTTTATAGGGGTTGGTTAGATAAAGCTCAAGGGAGTTTTGCAGACTTAAGGGAACGCTGTGGGCACGGATTGTTCTGTTCCCAGGCTATATACACGATAAAACTTTCTTCTGCCCCAAGGTTGCAGTCGCAGTTGCTGAAGCTTGAGGTTAACTATTCCCTTCTCAACACCTCCCCGCCCCCACCCCGGGTTCTGGCTGCCGTCAGCTGCCAGCTTGCTCTGCCTTGCAGATGTAAGCGGTCAAGCATGGCCTTGCCAAGTGCTTAACCTGGGCTTTGACGCCAGCTGTCACCATCCCCCACAATTTCCCCTGCTTCATCCTTCCTCTCTCCTCCTCTGGGACTCCAGTTGTGCTTGTGAAATTACTTGACATTGTCTCACAGCTCTGGAATGCTTTGCTTTTTTTAAAAAAATTTCTTCTCTTGCCTTGAGTTTCAGTTTGGATAATTTCTATTTACCTCTCTTAAGTTTACTGGTTCTTTCCTCAGCAATACCCAGTCTCTGAAAAGCACATTGAAGCAATTCTATATGTCTAATAATATATTTTTAATCTCTAGCATTTCTATTTCACATTTTTAATAATTTTCTTCTCTCTGCTGAAATTCCCTGTATGTTCACATATATTATCCACCTTTTCCACTCTATTTTTTAATGTATTAATCATAGCACAACCTCTGGGTCATTTGTGAATATGGTTCTTTTGATTGTTTTAGTTCTTGATAACAGATTTTTACCCTGCTTTCTTGGGGTGGCTTATAATTTTTGATTGAATAATGGGTCTCATGTGTAGAAGAACAGTAAAAACTGAGGTAAATAATATTTATTCCCAGAAATGTGCATACCTCTTCTGTCAGGTCAATAATGTGAGTGATTAAGTCAATGTACCAGGAGTTAGGCTGAACTTGGGTTTTATTGTTTTTATCGTTACCTTTCGTGTATCACAGGATTCAAATTCTTCTGCTCTTATGTTGTGCTTAATGTGGGGCCCGGAATACTAGGGAGTTTTTCCGTGTCCATCGGCTTTCAGCAGTTTTGTTACAGAGGGAGTCCTTCCCCACACTTTTCTTCTTACTCAACAAAGACTAGCGTTGCTTGTTACTGGTGCTAGGTTTGTAGTGGGGTAAGGGGACATACTCCTTGTCCAGCCTTGTTCTTAGGCAGGTCCTCTGTACCTAAGCCAAGAATTGAAACTTTCTTTGCATTTCTGTCTCTCTGACACATTGCTGCCAAATTCCTCCAAGTATCTGATACATCTTGAATGAGAGAGCATTTCCTAGCAATACCCAAACTTTACTTTTTATCAGTTCAGAACACTGAGCACCAGTATTTCCTGCTGCTTCCCCAGAGACAAAGGATTTGTGCTTCTATCTGTCTCCCAGAAGCAGTAGATATTTGCCATAGCCCTGTTGGTGGTAGTGTTTTCTGCCCCTCTCTCAGTGACTTAAGGTTTTCAAATGAGAGAAAAGTTTAGGCCTGGACGTTAGGACGGGTTTCTTGATTGCATCCAATGGCAGAACTATTACCTTCTAATATTCTTGTTATCTCTGGAAAACTATTTATTGCTATTCCATAGAGAGGAATGTGGTGTTTCAATTTAGCTTCTTCACAGATATTTATTAAGGATATGCTATATGAATAGCACTTTAAATATTAACTTAGTATGCCTGCTCTTTATTTCTCTACTAGATAAAGCTGCAGGAAAATACATTTGTCACTCAAGAATCTACCTGTTTCTTTTAGCCACTTTCCATAGTACCACCCCAGGTTAAACTAAATCAAAATCAGTGTGGTTGGGAAAAAATAAAGAGCAACCCTTGTGCAAGAGGCAAGTGAACACCCAGGCTCTCCATTTCTTTGGAGACAGTTTGTAGAGTCAGACAAGCTGGGGGTTCAAGTAATAATAGTTTACTTGTGAAAACCATTCCCAAAAGAATAGTTAACAAGAAGATTTCTGAACTTTGTTTTATATGAACTAAAAGCCATATATCAGTGCGCCAGGGGTTTGAGGGCAGTTGTTAAACCTTTGAAACCAGGGAAAGGCTACTGAGCCCTTCTCACACTTCTAGGGAAAATGAAGCTGAGCTATTTTTGGAGGATGATCACTGTCACTACTAGGTTCTCTGAGGTACCTCAGCAGACCATAATTAGAAAAGAGGAATGACCTTTTATTCCAGTAAATGTTTAATATGAAACATTGAATCATATTAATCGGTTACAGGGCCTAAGGAGGATATGTTCTAAAAAAAAAAAATACAGTATAATATTAGTTAAGGTTGCAAGTTCTATACTAATAAACAGTATTAATATTGAGATCTGGCCAGGTGGCTGAGTTGGTTGGAGCACCATCCAGTACACGGAAATGCTGCAGGTTCAATCCCTAGTCAGGGCACATACCTATGTCGCAGGTTCCATTCCCAGTTAGGGCGTGTATGGGAAGCAACTAATCGATGTTTCTCTCTCTTCCCTCCTCTCCTTCTAAAGTCAATAAACATATACTTGGGTGAGGATTAAAAATATATATGTTTGTGTGTATGTATTGATAGCTCGATACTAATTTTTTTCAGTTTTATTGAGATATAATTGACATATTGTATTCATTTTAGGTGTACAACATGATTTCATGTATATATTTATTTCAAAATGGTCATCAAAATAAGTTTAGTTAGCATCCATCACCTTATATAGTTAGAAAATTTTTTTCTTGTGATAGAAGTTTTAAGGTTTATTCTTAGCAATTTTCAAATATAACATACAGTGATATTAGCTTCAGTCACCATAATGCACATTACATGGGAAAAACTTAATTTGCAGCGGGACGCTCGCACCTTTTGATCGCCTTTGCCCAGTTTGCCCACTTCCTCCTACTCCCTCCCTCTGGCATCCACTATTCTGTTTTCTATTGTCTTTTTTTTTTTTTTTTTTTTTAATGCAAGGTAATTTTAATCGGTATGTTTATTTGAAGGAACAATTTCCAGCCTCTTTGAAATGTGGGGTGTTTTTGACCTTACACATACAAGTCAATGTTATTTAGTTAAGGTAACCAAATTGCCAATTAATTATTGCGTGTTACAAAAAGGTAAATGAAAACCAAAAATAAAAAATAAACTGTCTTTTACTTATGAAAACGGAAGTTGCTGAAGGGCCTCCTCCTTTACGGGATATCACTGATGGGAGCCCAGAGAACTGGACCCTAAATCCCCTGAGTCATAGGTCAGGCAAATATTAAACAAAATTCAGAGGCGTGGCCCCTTATTCCCACAATCTCCACCCTTGAGCAACAGTCGATGGGACGAGGCCCAAATGCCCCCAGAAAAGAATGAGACCCGGAAGCGCGGAGGCCGGATAGAGCCGAGAGACCAACGGAGCCACAACAGCTTTGGCCCGAGGTGCCCCGCGGGCTCCGGCGCCAGCGCCAGTGTGGGCGGGGGCGTCAGACGGTTCCTCCCCTGCCCGGGGAGGCGGGACCTCCACCTTTTCCCGCCTGCGGAGCGCAGCGTTCCCCCCTCCGCCCCTCCCTCTTTCCCCTTCTAGACCCCGCGCCATTTCTGTTACTCTCGGCTGAGGAGGCTCCCAAGGGGTCTTGGCGCGCTGGATAGTGCGGACCCGATCCCCGGGCGAAATGCGGTGGCCCCTGGGGCCGTGGTGGTTGATGCTCTGGCTGCCGCCTTTGGCCACAGTGCCCGCAGGCGCAGTGCGCGGGGAGGAAGCGGTCGAGGCAGCGTTGTCAGGTAACCGCGGGCACTGGCGGCAGCCGCGCACACGCAATCCCTGGCTCCCTCAGTCCCAATCTGCCAGGTTCGGGCGAGGGCGCTCCGGCTGGGGCGGCGAGGCCTGGGGTGCCGGTGGGCGCGGCCTGTCCCAGCGGAGGACCCGACTTCCTGCCTGCCTGCTTGGGCTTCCCTGATCTCTGCTGGGCCTTGGACAGTGGATGTGTTTAGGACTAGAAGCAATCGCAAAGTTCAAAGCCTAGTCCTATTCTCTTCTTTTACAGAAGCAGCAACCTAGGCTCAGAGATATTTTCATTTGTCTCAAGTCACACAACGAGTCACTGGCACAGCTGATGCTAGTCTACCGGCTTGCAGCACAGGGCTTTGTGTAGTATATCCACTTAGGTTGAAAACCTTATTCTCTATTTAGCTTCGGCTTCGGAATATGACCAAAATTCCCCCTGTCCCTCACGAGCTCTGTGACCTTAAGCGAGTCATATAACTGGTCACATATAAAACTCAAATAAATATGAAATGATAGCTCTGATCATAATGTTGTTACGGGTTATATGTCCAGTGTTCTCAAGATCCGGGCACACTTGTAGCTCCAGAACTGCTCTCATTTCCTATGAGCTTAGCATTTCTATTTCATCCCCCCCCCCCCCCCCCCCCATAAAATCCCTTAAAAGATTTCCCGGAATCACTGCCCACCAGTTCTAGCTTTCTCTTTGATTGATTGCAGAGAGAAGGGAAGGGAGGGAGAAAGAGGAGAGAAACATCCGTGTGAGAGAAACATCAGTCACTGGTACTGGGGACGGGACAGAAACCCAGGCACTTGCCCTGACTGGAAATCGAGCCTATGGCCTTTCAGGGTTTGCGGGACGCCCAACCCACTGAGAGCCACACCCGCTATCCCTTTGGCTACCTCTGGTTGCAAAGGAGGTAACCGAGTGTGGTCTTTCAGCGGCCCCGCCCCCCGCAACAGTAAGTCAGGGTTCTTTGTCTAAGGTTGAGGCAATTACAAGATTCTGCCATAACTGCCAACTAGAGGAAATAGTGGGGAATCACCTTGGGGAACTGTTTTACATCAGTTTACATTGAATAGACATTTGTTGAGTGTTTACCATGTGTTAGGCAGTGTTAAAGTGCTTTAACTGCATTATTTTATTTGATGCCCAGAATAGCCCTGGGTGGGGGTAGCATTTATAAACCTAATGCCTAATAAGAAATGTGGCCGGCATATGCTGATGAATGCTGATGAAAAAATAAATCACAGTATTGCCAGGAGGGAGGGTTTTTGAACATGATAACAGCCAGAATATTTTGAGTAACCCTGGACCAACACCCAGAACCTTGAGTTCTAGCACAGCCATTATATTCAGCCACCCGTTTGTCAAATTACGTTCGTCCAGGCACATAATCTTTACAGACTACAGTTTTTTTTCTTTAAAATTTTTTAAAATTTCTTTAAAATTTTAAAATTTTAAATTAGTAAATTTAAATTTTTAAATTTTAAATTAGTAAATTTAAATTTTTAAATTTTAAATTAGTAAATTTAAATTTTTAAATTTTAAATTAGTAAAAATGAAGATGTTATATTTCTGAATGTTTTCCAATATTTTCCTCACCTTTTTATTTTTTCAAGTTTTTACCAGATTTAGTGTTAACATTTCACTTCTCTATTTTGTTAATCAAAGCCGTACCGAAATGCCTATCAGAGCTTCTCTTCTGCCTGACACATGCAGGATGCCCACTGAGTTGATAAAACTGTAGACCACAGCTGGAAAAAAAAAAAAGGCAATTTATGAGCCTTAGAGCAACATTTGCCATTCCAGGTAGGCTTTACAACATAGACTCTGACGCATCACGGATCCTGTGGTGTGCTGGAACCTCTGATTACACTAAGTCTAAGAACCACGGCTGCCCTAAAAGTCCTAGTTTTCATGAGGAACCCTGACCTCAAACAGCTGGTACTTCCTTTTAAATGGGGGCCATCTTTAATGTGAAAGGCTGAGGTTAGATGATCCTTCCTGGTCTAAATTTCCATCTCTACCGTGCACACACAGGTTGCTATGGAATGGAGACCATCTAGACCAAGGCCAGCTTTCTGTCGCCCTATCTGAAGTAAAGTCAGAGGCAGTTGGCACAGGCGGGGCAGGTTTGGCTGAGCGGAAGAGAACCTTTCAGCCAAGTATCGCCAGTGGTTTACAACCAAGGGGTGAGGTTCCTAGAAACCATGTGTTGTCCTGTGATGTTCAGGCCACTGCACTGAATTCCCAGGCTTGAATTATAGTAACAGACCATTTGAATGTACAGTACTCAAAATCATTTATGGGAGAAGAAAAAGCAACACTTGAGGTTAAAATCATCTCTGAATATGCATTAGCATGTGCTAATTTCAGTTTCATTCTCTACGCATGTTCTTGGAGAAATAAAAAAGATTTATATTCAATTCATGTTTAAAAAAAACAACTAGGATTAGTGGAATAGAGAAGTTACCTTTGTACCTTTGGTACTACATGCTAACTCCTTTGACTATATGGATTTTTGTTTTTCCTATTCTTGTCCCCAAAGAGAAGCAGTTATAGTCCAAATGGAGAAAGTGACAGTCTAATAAGTGATTTTATTATTCTGTTAAAGTTTCACCTGAGGATATTTTCTTCTCATATGAGGGCCATGTAAGTTTAAATTTTCAGGAGAAATATTGCTGAAATATTTTTATGTTGGAAGTTGTTTTAAGAAATGCTAAGATTTGAGGAGTGTTGGTGCTTTTTATTTTTGGCATACCGTATTCTACAATATAAGTACCACCTGCTCTTTTCTGAAGTTTTGACTCAATTTTTTACCTTATGTATGTCCAAACTCTTTAACTTAAATTTATACATTTAGGAAAATTAGTAAATGACAAAAGAACTACAAAGAAGTGATTTTAACTATTAGTTAGAGCAGGTGATATGCAGCTGCCCCTTTTTATATGTGATATGTAGTCTTAGATTAATTCATTATTTATAAATTGAATGTTATTTAAAATGAACTAAGAGATCTCATTGGTTAAGGTAATCCTGATTTGAATCCTCTGATAATATAAATAATTGTGCTTTGTCGTAGCAGTTGGGGCACAACTGTCCAAAAGTATACTGTTCTCTATAATTCAGCTTTATTGAAAAGACAAGAGAGGCTGTCAAAGACTCTAGGGAGTTAAGGAAAGCGATGCTCATCCATGGCTTAGAGATGCAGCTTTCTTGGGGTAGCCATAGTGAGGATGGCATTCAGGCTGGGTCCCCAGATACTCTTAAGTGGTTGGGAGATGAGCCCAAGCTGGGATAGCTCGTATTTCCAGCTCTTTCTCCGTATCTGAATCAGGTTTGAGAAAGTAAATACCTACGTTATGTGGTTCCCTCCAGAGTGGAGACATGTTTCAGCGCCTCCCTAAGCAGCGGTTCTCTCCTGGCAAAATGAATGATTATTGTTGCATTTTTATGAATTCCTAGAAACTTTTTGTTTTCTGGATTGCATTGTAAGGGGATTTTGTTGATATTATTGTGGACCAGCAAGTCCCATCCTAGAGGAATGAACCAGCTAAGACTGAGGCCGCATGAACAAATGACACCTGCAAACAGGCAGCCTTCAGTGTCAGGGCGTGAACGTGTGACAGAATTCAGATGAAGTTGTGAAGCTGGCTGCATTTCCTATTTCCCGTCCTCAGGTGGAGATAGAGGAAGTAGACACTGAACAATGAAATGTTTCTAGAAGAAGATTGAGGAAGGGAAGGGAAGCCTAGGAAAGACATACCTTTATAAACAGTGAGACAGTGATTTTCAATCTTTTTCATCTCGTAGCACACCTAAACTAATTACTAAAATTCTGTAGCACACAAAAAATACTTTTTTTTTTTTGCCAATTTGACAAAAAAAATAAATAGGTATAATTTTAATTCATTCACATCGGACAGCTCTTGTGTTGGCTGTTGTCATTTTTTTATTTGACAATATAAGGGAAAAGAGGTCAGTGCCCCCGACTGAAGAGTCAGGTGTTGCATGCTTTAAAAATGCTTGTAGCACATCAGTGTGCCCCCTGAAGCTGATCTAAGATAAGAAGGTCTGGTTCTCTGTAGGAAGGCAGTAGGCCAGCCATGATAACAATCTTGATTGTCACAAGTCACTGCCTTATGCCTCATCCAACTAGCCTATGCCTTAAGGTTCACATGAACTCAGCTGGGAGCTAGGCTTGTGCCTACTTGTGGCTGTGAGTTTCTAATTTCTTAGACATTTAGGAATTCTTGTGTGGCTTGATTGAAATGCGTTCACCTTAGGAGAGAGGTGATAGCAATGAGGGCAGCCAGAGGACACCACGAAGTGTTGACACATTGTTTATAATGTCTCATGTACTATATAAATTTGACATCAGCTGCATCTCAAAAGCCTGGCAAATTCCTAGGGAGACACTTTGCAACCTGCTTTTAGTAGTGTTTCTATAGGTATCAGTAGGGGCACTCTGTCTCCATTAGTACTTACCTTAATGTGGTTGAAGACTCAGTTGAAGTCCAGAAGTTTTTTAAATTGGGAGTGCTCTTGCACAGAATACACTGATTTACCATATACGAGAAAACAACGAGTAGGAAAATTTGAGGCATCTTGAGGACAGGTGGATTGGTGTAGCTGGAGCAGTCAAGTGGAGGGAAGGTGGGAGAGGTCATAGGTACTCAGGTCCTTGGAAGGGAGGATGGATTTTATTATGGGTCCGATGGGAAGCCATGAGCTCTGATAGATGTTTTTGAGAGATTTATGTGCTGATTAGAGAATAGGTTTTTTGGGGAAATCATGTGTGTGTTTGGATGTGTTCTCATCACAGTTGCTCAGGCTCTTCCAGGTTCTACACAGCCTTCTTTGACATTTGTCTTTCATAAAGCTGGCTGTAGCCCTTTGATATCCGGGAAGTGCCTTCTCCAGGGTGCCGCCCTCACCTAGGAGGATTTGCATCTCAGACATACCCAAGAATGCACCTCAGCATTGGTTGCTTCGTGTGGTGGTGGCACTGTGTCTGCATTCTCCTTTTGGCTGTTATATATAAACAGATCATGCAGGAATGCGTTTGTAATTGTTAGTGTCTTGTATTTAACAGCCTCTAAAGCTTCCTTCCCATGCCTTTTTAAGACCTGCCTCTTAACCTGGATTCTTGTAATTGCACCTCAGACTCTATCACTCTGCAAGTTTGTTGGTATATTTGAAAACACATTCATTTCCTCAAAATGTTAACAGTGAAGATTAAATGATTTGACAGTGTCGCAGTGGAAGGTACTGGATCCTTGTGTGACTTCCTGCTTTGGTAGCTTTATGGCCTTTATGCAGTTATGTTTTGGGAAGTGGTGGGCATTCACAGTGTCCTTTCCCCGAGTCTGTCTTCACTTTTCTCCAGCTTAATGCTAAGGCTGTTGTAGCCAGAACAGGGACCTATCTGGGCTTATTCAATGCTATTCCCTAAATGGATGTCATTGTTGACTAGTTACTGGTTACCCAACTCTTTCCCAACTTTGGTGCAGCAGATTGTGCTAGCTTCATTTGAGGTTTTTCTGGAGAAACACTTTCTTTAGGGGAATGGGGAAAAGGAGGGATTGGGTGTAAGTCCCATTTCTATGCGCTCATAATCCCTGTTGCTGTTTCCTGTTGACAGATGTAGTGGTTGCACCCTATCCTGGATCTAGAAGAATTTATTGTTTTCATCTCACTTCATTTCACAATAAATTTAAGTACAGCAGCAGATGAACCCCATCACTTTATAATCTTCTTGTGTCATTTACTACATTTATCCACTCTAATATAGCGCCTGTCTTTCTGTTTCTGTGTATTATGTTGTGTTATGTTATATGTTAATTATTATATATTTGTATATTGTATATATCATATTTATATACACACACGTGTATGTATCTACATCAGTCTCTAGTCAAATTTCTCCCGTGCTGCAGACCTATCCATCTTCACTTAGTCCCATCAACCAAAATTCAGCAAGTCCAAAACTGAACTCATCTCTCCATTCCGCGCACAAGTTTCACCCAGTATTCCTTATCTGGGTGAAGGACCTCGCCGTCTCTTCATTCGTCAGAGCCTTCATATCATCTTGTTCTCCCTCATCTAATGAATCTCTTAAGTCTGTTGATTCCGCTTCCTAAGTGCTCTTTAATCTGTTCTTTCAGCCTCCTGCTTAGTTCATGTCTTGCTGGGATTGTCTCAGTAGCCTCTTCAGTGGTGCTCCTTTCAGTCTTCTTCCCCACTAATGTTTCATACTGCTTAAAGAATGCTCTTTCTAAAACATGACTGTGTTCCTGTGACTTATTTATTGAACTGGTTGTTCTTTATTCCCACTGATCCATTCTCTGCCTTTCCCTCCCCTGCCCAGTGCCTGGAAGCTGACTTCTGTGGAGTAAATCACCTGGGCTTCTTTGCCCCCGGGCCTCCCACTGGGTTTGGCCAGTGAGAGGCACTGTAGGGAGGGCAGGAGGGGGAGGCTGAGATACCCATACCCTTACCCACCATCCCACTGAAGTTCTGACAGTGATTACATTCCATCAAACTACTGTGCCCACCCCCACCCACCAGCAGCTCCAGTAACATCCGGTCCTCCCTTTACCACTTAAGGCCTAGGGTGCTGAAGGCTTCCTGCTGTTGGTTAATCAATTGACTTAATGTCTTAACCCTGCCCACAGCTTCATTAACTCTTTTCAGTTAAATCCTTTTGAGTGTCAACAGTTTCTTGCTGAGACTTTGATACTTACCTAAAATCCTTTAATGCTCTGCTCTCAGCATGAAGTCCACATTCCTTATTGTAATAGTAACCACTGCTTCCCTCTCTAACTGCAGGTGTTGAAATGTCCTCATGCGTTTCCTACATTCCATCCTTGTGAACGGCTGAACCACTTCTGTGATTTCCCTCATTTCCATATTTTGTACATACTTGCCACCCCCACCCCCGACTTCCATTTTTTTTCTTCCGACTTAATTCTTAAGTGCCTCACTCACATTTCCTGTTTTCCAGGAAGCTGCCCTCAATTCTTTCCCTGTAGTTCAGGATTGAAGAAGTGTCTATTCTTTGTCTCCTCCAAATGTCGTAAAAATATTGACACTGAAATGTAATTTTTAGTCTGTCTCCTGCTAGGCTGGAAAGACTGAAAGACTCTGATTACCATGTAGAAACATTTATTGGTCATAGAATATAAAAACAGCTACTATTATCCCTGTTAATAAAAAAAAATAAGATTCTGGGAAATTAAATATTTAGGAAATGTATTTTCTTTTATATATCTCAGTTCCAATGTGCAAAGCTTTGAAGGAAATGGATTTTATTAAATCTTCTGAATCATATTGTTACTGCTACAATCAAAATTCCCAAATGGAATGGAAGTGGAAATACATATGGTCAACTGTGCAGGTAAGACTGTACTTTTAAATCATGTCTTAAGAACAAGGAATTAAAGTACTATTTCAAGAGTAGAAAGCAGCTTTTGTATGGCTTAGAGCTGTGTATCAGTATGAAAGCTGACTTGAGGATCATACACAGTGGCTCAAGAGGAGGGGTGTGTGGGAAGGGACATTAATTCTCCATTTTCTTCACCAGCCTTTCTCTAAACTGTTCCAAATAAATATATATCTAAGTGAGTACAGTATACTTGCTGTGTAGGCACAGCTCAAGACAATGCCTTCTTGCTTACTTTCCCAAGTAATTGCTATCCCAAGCCCCTTTATATGGAAATTCTAAAGCTACCTCTGATCCCAGGTATGGCCAAGATATAGTAGTTACTCTTGATAGCCCAGTACTTTCCCTCATTCAACATTTAACAAGTACTTATTGAGTACCTACTAAGTACCAGGAATTCTAGACTCTTAGGATAATCAGTAAACAAAACAGATCCCTGCTCCTATAATGTTTACACTCTTGGTGGTGGGGATAGGGTGGAGTAAGCCATGAGTGTAAAAGAAGAAAATTACAAAACAAGTGATAAGAAAAAAAGAAAATGTAGAGTAAGATAAGTAGATTGAGGGAGAAGGGAGGCGAGTTGCAGTATTTAAAAGAGTAGTCAGGGTAGAGGGTGACATTTGAATAAGATTTCAATAAAGTGAGTGCATTACCCAAGAAGGTATCTGGGCAAAGAGTATTCTAGGCTGAGGGAATAGCTAGGATATATTTGTAGATGCATGATGTTGATTTGTGTCATTACTGATAATTTACATACCCTTTGATCACTTGGTTAAGGTTGTATCTGTCAATTTAGAGCTTTGCCACTGTAAAATGACTAATTTCACTTATGGAGGGAATGAATATTTTCAGCAGGTAATTTAAGACTATGTCGAGATCCTATTATTCCTCATCAGACTTCTATCACCTGGTTCTATCATCCATTGATGATACTGGCCTGAATCAAGTTATCATCATATTTGTCAAAGGGTGATTTTCTAATTCCATTATTTCTTCTACATTCATTGACATTCTTCTATAAAGAAGAGTTTTTCCTCCTCCAGTTTATTTATATCCACATAATCCCATGGATTGCCAATCATTCATGGGACTACAATCCATTACTTGGGTTTTTTTGATGTTTATTTTGATATTCAAATTGTCCTAGATTTGGCCAGTAGGAGCCTCTTCAAACTAGCTCCTGTGACCTCTTAACTTGTGCCCATTATTTGAGCTCTTCTTTACCTTCTAGCAAACAAGACATTCCAAGCTTATCTTGTAATTTCTTAGACTCAGCTCTGGAATCATACATTTTTCCAAGGAGCATTCAGTGTTGTGTTTATTGCTACTACAATATCATTGTCATATGTGTATACACACACGCATACCCACTTACCTACAAACATATCTATTTCTATCTATATTGAAAGCCATGAGTTCTAATATCTCCTATACTATTTATTTGGTTCATTCTAATCTCCCTCTTTTCCATATTTGTAACTTCCTTCTTTGAAAAACCTGGTTCCCATTATGCTCAATATGTTGATTATTTGCCTAATCCTAGAATACACAGAAAGTAATTTCATATTTGCTAAGTACCATTGTGTAAAACAAACCTAGCAATAAGAATTCAATATTTGTTTACAGTGTGTTTTTATCTTTAGTGTGAGGGTGTATAGTTTAAATACTGTGCTCAGAAGTTACCGTGATCAATTTATTTTCACCCATCTTCCTTCTGTATGGTTATATTATTCATTTGGAATATATTTGTTTTTATTTGTTCCCATTTCAAGGTTGATTTTATTATATTTTTAGTATGTTATTATTAATAAATACACAAAGGTATGTTCAGAGAAGTGTCTTTGCCCCTCATATTCCTCTATGCATTCCTACCAAACCCTTGTAAGTAGTCTTATCAGTTTCTGGCATATCTTTCCTGTGTGCGTGGTTTTTTTTTTTAAAGTGAGCAGCAATGCAAAATTATAAATGGTGCTTAAAGCCATGAATGACACTATGGAGCGAATTTAGATGGAGAAGAGAGGAGGGCGAATGACCAAGCCTGGGTCAGGAAGGAGGGATGGGCCAGCCGTGGAGAGAGAGAAGGAGCAGCTGGTGAAGAAGGTGTCCAGGAAGCCCAGAGGGAAAAACGTGTAACAAGGAAAAGGGAATGATCAACAGTGCCAAATACTGGGGATGGATCCAATAAGATGACTGAGAATGAATTGATCATTTGAATTAGGAACATGGAGGCCACTGGTGACTGTGCCAAGGACAGCCTCTTTGGAGCTGGCTAGAGAACAGGAAGAGAGGAACTGCAGACTGGGGGGGAAAGCGGAGTCAATAGAAGGCTGTTTTAATGGGAAGATAGCAGCATGTCTGTATGCTGACAGAAATGGTGGAGAAGAGCGGGAAGTATGGCGGGACGTCCCTGAGTGGGCAAAGGTCGACCAGATCCAGTGTGCAAGTCGGGAGCTTGCCGTGAGAGTTGAGCATGCAGACCTCTGTGGCAGTGTCCTCCCCGCAGGCCAGGAGCTGAACATGTGCCTGCCGGTGCTGACAGGTGGGGTTATGGGGGTAGGAGCCAGTCAACATTCTTTCCCGGTGTTTTCCATTTTCAGTGAAGTAGGAGGATCACTGAGGCGGCACAGGAGGTATTGGGGAATTGATGGAGAAGCTGTGAAATCCCCGTGGAAGGGAGTGGAAGAGTGACTGGATAGGAGTATGTGGTATGAGTGCTTTCAGCATTCGGGTCCCAGTCAGATTCACAGTAATGGGTGTGAAGTGGGACCACTGTGCGTGTCTCCAGCACAGTCTGTGGCAGAAATGCAAGAATGGAATAGGTGGAGGGCTGGATTTTGGAGGTGGGTATGGCAAAAAAGAGGGATGCAGAAGAGTCAAGGATGCATGTAAGGAAATAATTCCTAATGACGCATCTGGGAATTCAGCTGGACAAAAAAGGGGCTGAGTTCATCAAGGGGGTAAGGAGCAGGGTAGAGATGCTTGATCTATGGTGGGGTCAGAGGCTGGCTGGGGTGGATGCTAAAGGGGACATGCAGGAAAGATAGGAGGTAGTGGTCAGCCAGTGAGATGCATGAAATAGAACCTGTATTTGGGGCTTCAGTTGGGACTAACAAAGTCCAGCATGTGGCCATGGGAGTGATTACCTGAGGTGGGTGGAGGACAAGAGCAGAAGAGGAGAGGAGCTGAAGGAACTGAGAGGCCAGCATATTGGAAGGAGTTTGGTGAGTATACCATGTATGTTGAGAGAATAACAGAAAGCCAGGGGCTAGAGTCCATGAGAAATGAGGGGAAGGTGGACAGTGGGTGATGCCACCTGATGCCTGAGATTCAGAGTTGGTGCTCTCCCTCTCCGCCGCAGGCTTGCCCTAATCTTGGACGAGGAAGGGACATAGAGAGGGACAGGCAAAGGCCACTTAATGGTAACTGGGTTGTCACAATGCTTGGCACTGTAGCTAGTGCTTTGCTGTGAGACTTGAATGGGACCTGGGGTTGGGCTGATCCAGAGGAAGGAAGCACTTGTTCTTAGTCACAGTAGAAAATGGTGGGCAGATAAACCCTATTCTCATATGTTTATAACCAAATAGTTTGCCGCCTATTGCTTTCTGTGTCTTGTTTACATGGCCCCACAACCTGCTAGAAGAGGGAGTTTAGTCAATCACAGCTCAAGGGAACAAACACCCAGTTTCCAAAGTGTCTGTGCTGCAGTGTGAGTAGGTTTATCCGTGACATCAAAACAATACCACATAGAGCTACATGTCTTTTACTCAACCAGTCTTAGGCTCTCTTTACTCCTCTGTTTATCATTTGAAGAAACTTCTTGTGTTTATGGACTTGTTTATTCTTGTTTTATAGGTGAAAATTACCAGCTCAGGCCCGCTCAGTATTGTATATATCACAGAAGGGCAAAATTGCCAGTATCCAGAAACCATTCTCTCTCTTATCAAATGTGTGATTCATAAATTTTGGATACCAAATGACTCTCATGAAATAACCATAACCATTGATTCGTATGGGGAGATTGTGTGCTTTGTTGTGAAACCTGTCACAAGTTATACAATATGCGTGAATCGAAACAGTAAGTCTGTTTTTATTATACTGGACTTTCTCGATTCAGTTTTGCTGGAGTGACATTTCAGTACATTGACTTTTCCCTTTAGTCACTAACACAACACTGACACAAAATCTTCATTTTGTGTATGTGTCTTTTTTACTCCAGTCGTGGACTTCAAACTCCTTCTTGTGTTTGTAGCAGGCATTTTCCTCTTCTTTTATGCAAAGACCTTGAGTCAGTAAGTATTCATTTTTACGTTCTTAACTTTGTGAATCAAAAAGAGTATAGGACATTTTTGAAGCTATGCTAAATATTACCACACTAGTTTGTAGGTAGTTCTTGCTTTAGGTTTTGCAAACAATAGATCTGAAACTCATGCTTGAAAAGCCTTTAAAACCAGTAATAGTTATTTGTATAGTTATGATATGTAAATGTTACAGAGTGCTTCCACGTGCATTATTTTGTATTACATATTAATATACATTATTTTAATTTATTTGATCCTAACAACTATGTGAACTCTGTATAATTTTTCTCATTTTGTAGATGAGAAAACAAACGTCTGTCATCACATGACTAGTTCTTACCAGCACTGAGATTCATACTCAGATTTTCTGATGCCAAATGCCTTGCTCTCTCTATTATATTCAGGCTCTGCCCTCCATATTTGAGGCTCTGATACAGAAGATTGAATTTAACAAATACCTGATAAACACAGTATTCTGATATTTTGTTACTAACAACTTCAAAACAGGAATCTTAGTTTGCTATTCTAAACATTGTTTACTTTTGTGCTTTTCCTTGTAACATAATGAGGTGTTTAATATCCATGGTCCTCATAATCAGGATGTTGCTTATGTAGCCTGAAGTGTAAAGCTTGGCGTCAGAGGAGTTGAGCTGGAATCCTGAATCCTCCAGTTAGCAGATACTGACTTGGGGAAGGTCTTTAACTTCCTGGTGCCTTAGTTTACTCCCCTGTAAAATTTAGACCAAGATAACTGTTTCACGGGGCTGTTGTGAATGCATGTAAAGCTCTCAAACAAGCGCCTGCTACATCATAGGTGCTCAAAAATTATTGTTGGATCAGATTCTGAACTGAAGATAATCCAGACATTCTGTTTTGAGTTACTGACAAGATATTTACCATAAATTTCAGGTAGAGATTTCGTATTATAAGATTATGGCTACTGTAGTCAAGTTAAACATATTTTTCATAATGGAAGTGTGACTTGACATTTAAACGTCTTTCATCTGCTTGTCTTGACAGAAGCCCTACTTTCTATTACTCTTCCGGGACTATGCTAGGTATTCTGATGATACTTGTCTATATCCTGTTGCTGGTGAAAAGGTTTATCCCTAAGGTAGGTATAGTATGTGCAGATGAATAAAAAATTGAAGTCAGGATATCCGTAGACATGAAAAATTGGCCAAATTAATTCATATTGATTATAACAGTTCCTAATTCAAACTATATTTCTGCATTGTATAAACTGGCTTTAAAATGTATCTTTCTAGAGATTCCATATTTACTTGTTACTGTTTGTAGGCTTATATTATTAAGTCTTGGTGATTTTTTTTGAGACCCTTTTATTTTCTAGGTAATGTGTTTTTCTTATGAGTGACAGGGGCTGCTGATTCTATGCTAAGTGAAAATTTCTCTTCTTTTGGCATAACTGAGGCCTCTCATGATTCTTTGAATAACAGTATTGCTACATCGGGGGATTTCTTTATTATTATTAGTTCCCCAAAACAGAATGCTCTATGCTTAGTTGAGGATAAATAATTGTTCATGATGATAATGTTGCAATTTCCCTGATTAAAGCTTGCAATTCCAGCATTATTTTGATAAATTTATTCCTTAGAACAGTGCTTCTTCAACATTAATGTATGTGCAAGTCACCTGAGGACCGTGCTGGAATGCAGATTCTGACCCAGCAGTCTGTGGTGGGGCCTGGGGGTCTGCATTCTGGCAGGCCCCTACGCGGTTGAAGCCGCTGGTTCATGGACAGCACCTTTAATCAGACCCTAGAGAGTATTGAATGGACTTCAGTGTAGTTTGATGTAAAAAATGTCTAATACAAAGGGTTTGATTGTTTACTTCTATTTTTATGAGAGTGAATGAACCAAAAACCATGCCATTTATTTTCTTCCACACACAGTATAGCACCTTTGGGGCTTTAATGGTTGGTTGTTGGTTTGCTTCAGTGTACATGGTGTACCAATTCATGGAAAATCTGCAGTGGCTGTGGTATGAAAACAGACTTTATACATTAGGTATGTAAAATTTTTTAAAAATACATTCAGTTATTGGAAAGCTGAAAAGAACAACTAGAGGCTTTCTTTTGGTATATGTTTCCAGTCTCTAAATTTTCAGTTTGAACTAAGAAGTGCTATTAAAAGTAGTATTTTATTTTATTCCCATAGTTGGTGATTTTAGTTCATTAGATCTTATTTTAGACTCTATCCCTATGACACCCTTCTTAGTTTTCTATACTAATGATCAAAAGAGCAAAATATTATTTGCCCCTTTTGACTGCATATGCTTTTGAATTGTGATTAAACTCTGACCACATCTAACTTGTAATGAAAACATTTCTCTAAAATATGGCTCTTTATATCTTTTTCCTGATGTTTTCAGTATGAAAGATGAGAAATCCTAAATATATATAACTAAAGAAAACTTGACTTTTCAAAAACAGAGAGGCTATTAAGAAACCACTTGGTCCAGGCTGGTGTGGCTCAGTTGGTCAGAGCGTTGTCTTGTACACTAAAAGGTTTTGGGTTCGATTCCTGGTCAGGGCATGTGTCTAGGTTGTGGGTTCGATGCCCGGTCAGGGTGCATGCCCGAGGCAACCAGTCAATGTTTCTCTCTTACATCAGTCTCTCTCTGTCTCTGTCTCTGTCTCTCTCTCCCCCTCTCTCCCTCACCCCCTTCCTCTCTCTAAAAGCAATGAAAAAATGTCCTGGGTAAGGATTAAGAAAAAGAAGAAGAAGAAGAAAAGAACCTAATTGTTCTCCTTATTTCATGTTACAAAAAAAAATTAAGTTTTTCTAATTATTTTTAATTGGAAAATAATGGAGAATGAGAGAATTAATTTTCTTCTAACTCCAAATTTCTCACATAAGGTTACTTACCCAAAACAAAAGCAGTAAACCTTTTGGTTCATGTTAAGATTTTATGTTTTCAGTTCATTTTTTTATGCTTCAGTATTTTTAAAGTGAATTACCAATATCATGATTTGTTCCCCTAAATCGTGATTTTCAGCCAGTGTACCACAACAATTTTTAAAAGATGTCATACCTGTGACTGTTTAGTCAGGGGCACCAACCTCTTTTCCCTTAGATTATCAAATAAAAAAGGTAAGAACAGCCAACAAAACAATAGCCATCAGGTGTGAATAAATCAAAATTATACCTATTTTATCTTTGTCAGATTGGCAAAAAAATTTTTTTTCATGTGCTGCAGAATTTTAGTAACGAGTTTATATGTGCCATGAGATGAAATAGGTTGAAAGTCGTTGCCCTAACTACTTTAATAAGCATCTCTTAAAAAAAAGAGAGCATTTTCCTCTATACTCAAGCAAGTATTAAATCTAAAAAAAAAAAAAAATTAACAATTAATGTGAAAGTATCTATTACCCAGACCATGTTTAAACTTCCTAAATGTCTTCGATGGCTGGTTTGTATAAGCTGGGATATAGTCCAGAATCACATTTTGTGTCTGTTATGTCCTGTCTCTTTTAATCCATAACAGTTCTTTTTTCATCACAGTGATATGCTGAAGAGACCAAGCTAGTGGTCCTATAGGATATCTCGCAGGGATTTCTCTGATTACTCCTTTGTGGTATAATTTAACTTTGTCTGTCTCTCCCCTGTATTTCCTGTAAACTGGAAATGAGATCTTGAGGCTTGCTTAGATACAAATGAAACACTTGGTGGAATACATAAGAAGCCATGTGCGCTTCACTGGATCATCACAGGGAACACAGAGTATCTTACCGTCCCACCATTATTAATGCTGAGACTGAGCACTGGATTGTGAGGGTGACAGCCTGATACCTCCTCTGTAAAATTGTACTTTTGTGTGTGTGACTAGAAAGTAAAAATGAAAAATAGGGTTTGTAGCACACTATGACATATGTTCAGGTTCATTCCTGACCAAAGCAACCGTAATAGCATTTGCCCATTAGGATTCTGGACTAAAAAAAATAGACATATATTATAATAATTTATGATTATACGTCCTTAATTACTGCAAGTCAGTCTAGTCTCTCACATGAAAGGGATAACTAGCCTTAAATGCCTTTTTCAATTTTACTTCATTGGAGAAAGAAAACAAAAATAAAGATTTTTCTGGTATGTTCTTAGGGTTCAGTCAAGGCTCTGACAAGTTTTTCACATAAATTTTCAAGTTCAGATTTATATTAGTTTACATTCTTCTGCTTTTACAGGCCTTGTCTTCATAGTTGGGTGTTTCAGCTTTGCTTTTTGTTACAAACATGGGCCCCCTGTTGATGAAAGGAGCATATGTCTTCTGACGTGGACGCTGCAGCTCCTCTCCCTGTTTCTGATCTATTTCGGTGCCACCATTCCTCAGTTCTCATATGCAGTTATGATCCTCATGCTGTTGTCCAGGAAAATGCACCGTGCAATGAAAGCATTCAGTTATATGATGTGGTATGTATCTTTTTTCCTGATAAATTTGATATTGTGAGCTCTGGTTTTATTTATTGTTTGGGGGAATTTTTGGACCTATCATATTTAATCTCATAATTACCTACATTTCACCTGGAGATTTCCCTCTGAGAGAGTGGAGGATAGAGAATGGAAGCATCTGATCTAATCTCCATTGCAGCCTTTAGAGATGCACCACCCCATCCCTGGGAAATTGCACCTCACCCAGAATTCACTAAAATCAGTGACAAAATTACTTGGGCTCTGGGTTGCCTAAAATTTCTACTTTCATTCTATATTTCCTTTCATTAGGGCCAAACACTGCTTTAGAGGTATTTGTTATGTTTATGATATACGAATAGGGAATAGAAATGAATCATAAATGGTTGAAAGATATTATTTATGTTTAGGACTTTATTTTAGGTTTTAGGTTAAGGCTTAACCCTTTAAAAATATAGAAGGATGAATTAGAAAGATGAAGTAACTTCTATCATGATAGCTTTGTTATTTACATCTGGTCTCATTCACTGAGTCTGACTGAACATCTGTTTTCATGTGAAGTGCACAGCTTAAGGATCATCCCAACCCTTGAGGTGTACTTGCTGAGACAGGCATACATTGTCATACACTTGAAGTGTTAAAATAGGCCTGCCCAGGAACTGTGGCATATAAAGTTCAGGAAAATTTCTGGAGGTGATATTACTGAGTTGAATCTTAATGAATCAAAATAGCCAGATGAGTAAATGCAGGAAGGGCTTTCCTGATAGAGAAAGCCCAGTTTGGTATCATCTTGAGGCAGGTGAGTGAAATGGGCTTTGGACGGGTCATGGAGGCACCATAGGCCTTGCTAATAAAACTAGTCTGACTCTGTGTACAGTGGAAGAAGGTAAGCAATGTGCACTTTAGTGAGTGCGCCCTGACTGATGCCCAGATTGGAGTTATGTGACCAAATGCTTGGGGCCCCAGCAGGTACTGAGTGTGTGATACAGGCAGGGGTGGGGTAGTGGAGTGATCGTGAGCGCTATGGGAAATCTTACAATGCAGCTGCCTTGAAAATGGGGCAGTTACCACTCAGCTTGAGCTGATGTTGCCATGTGGGAATATGGGACCTGCTTTACTAGATCTTCTGCCTTTCTAGAAAAGCTAGGAATGTGGATTAGAATGTCAGTTCTTACGATTTTTAAATGTTGGCAAGTAATCTGAAAATAAAATTATTCAATAAGCAAAAATCAGAGTTGAGACCATATCGCTCATCAGGTAGAAGGACGTGGTCCATCTCTCTTCTGGCAGAGGGTGGATATAAGGCGGGGTTCTGGGGCAGGAGACCAGTCATCAGACACCGCAATGCTCCAAGCAAGGGAAGAGGAGGACCTGGAGTACGGCAGTGAGACCAAGGCTGGAGGAGGGAGTTAATAAATGTTTATGAGGTACTCTTGACTGTTGCTCTGTGGTAACTGGTAGTTTATGGATCTGGGGACTGCACATGTGGCGATGTCACTGGTTCGAGAGTGCACCAGTGTCAGGACAGAGCCCCCCCCGCAGAGGATGTTGGCGAGGCTGAGAGGCAGCAGGGCCAGGTTGGAGGGGCTGATGCTGGCCGATCTCCCTGCGCCGTGTGAGAGCCCAGCAGTGACTCGGAGGGTGCTGTCCGCCTTACATCCTCTAGGCCTCTGGCCCTTTGCCAGGCCTGCATCCTGAGGAACCCAGGATAGAATTTTTGCACACTGGTTCTTTTAAGCACTTGTGCATCCTGTTATCATGAACGTAATAATCAAAATGTAGTGTAACTTTCTAAAAATTTTCATTTTGCTGGTGAATAATTATGTGAGTAACTAGGGGATAAAACAGGAGCTTATTTATAGGTTAAATAGTAAACCAGAGAAATAATACCTAGAGTACTTTCTAGTTTGCAAAGAGCTGTCTGAATATGTTTTAATAATATATGGTGGTTATTTTTTTTTTAATCATACTTCTTGAACACTTACTGTGGGCCACTCACTGCTAAAAGCAGTTTATACAAAACACTTCACTTAATCTGTATTGCAACCTCATAAGGTAGATGTTACTATTTTCAGTTTTTTCATATAAGCAAACTGAGGCTCAGAACTGTTAAGAAATTGCCCAAGTTCACACAGTGGGTGAACCTCAAAGCCAGGACTGTGCCTCAGTCTTCTGCTTGGAGCCCAGGTCTTTCCTCCAGGGAGACTAGCCTAGGCATTCAGAAAAGGAGAAGGAAATCATGTCTGTAGTTCCCTAATCCAGCATGTCAAACACCTGATGATTTTTAAAAGTTAAAAGATTTCTCAGGTCCCAATCCTCAGGAAAATATATGTTCAAAACACCTGCTGGTAATTCCGATACTCATCCAAATTTTGGACTCTCTGGTTAAATTAAAATTTAAGCTACCCAAAAACATTTTTTAAAAAAACTCATTCATAAATATATGTGTTGAAACTGTATCATCATAACCATTTTTATGAGATTGTTTCCTTTCGGACTTTCCTGGTGGGAAAAAAATTTTAGTCATAAGCCCTTCAGCATGTAGCAAAGCAAGAATTATTGTAAGTTTATTGTACCTACACACCCCTTGTACAATATTTACTCCCTCTCGAGGATGAGTCAGAATCTCCACCACTAGGTGGAGGTGACATCCCACAAATCCTCCTGCTTTTCTGTCTAGAAACTAAGTGGTGAATGCGTACTGGGACTCCATAAAAGGACACCTCAGAGGCTTACTTCTGTTAGTGCCAAAAAAAAAATTCAGCAGGCCAAGCATAAAGAAACCAGACTTTTAATTGTCTGGTTGTGTGATTAGAAATCACCAAGGAAAAAAGATACAATTAACATTTCTATTGGAAATTGATCATCATATGCCTTAGGTGATTCTTTAGGATGGTCCAGAGGGGGGGTAATATACTATCAAGCCCAAACTACATGTTCTAAGTACTTCATTTACAATAACAACAAGAAAAAGTATAGGATGATATAAAGGAAGTTAAGAAATACTACTGTCAAAGAAATGTATTTTCAAAATCTTAAGGGTTGAATTGAATAATCAAACATAGCTAGGAATCTAGCAACCAAATGCCGCATGTCTTAGGAAAATGAAGAAATGGTTTACATCGGAAAAGATGACAGTTAAGTATCTTACTGAAGATGAATACAGAGAGCAAGCTGATGCTGAAACAACCAGAGCTTTGGAGGAACTGCGCCAGGCCTGCCGCAGACCCGACTTCCCGTCATGGCTGGCCGTCTCCAGACTCCAGGCTCCTAAGAAGTAAGCCCTGTTCAGCTGCTTGGACCACAACTTGGGTTAGAATTACTGTGAAAATACTGTGATGGTTTGGTACAGTTACCTCAGAGTAGAAGCAGACTGCTACCCTGGATAACACATGGTGTGGAGGCTGTCAGAGGTTCTTCCTTTTCCTCGGGGCTCTGACTCACACAGTTGAACTGCTAATTTCAGAATAAATATTGATCTGATGTGTTTTAGAGGGGAGGCCATATGGTAACTTTCATACGAGGTGAAAGGTGGAATGGGCTCTCTCGCCCGCTGCTTATTGTACTGATGTGGAAAATAATTGTTAAAGGTCACTTAGAAAGGCATCTTTGCCCCAGTACCTTTTCCCTTCCTGCTTTCCCTTCTTCATAGCTTTAGTCAAATACCCATGCACTCAAAGATTAGAGAAGGGGAAAGTATTGACACTAAAATAATGGATAAATACTAAATCTAAACTAATAAGAAAGAGAGAAGAGAGGACTTAGGAAAGGGGAGTGGGTACATTTGACAGCACTCAGCACTTAATACCCATTTCTCTGCGCTGTCCCTGAATGTCTTAAGGATCACATGAGCCATTCCTGTGTTTACACCCACTGTGTAAATGCCATTCTCTGTTGTCACAAAGTCCAATTTAATTAAGGAGGATATGTATTAAGGGAACTGTTACTTTTCAAATAAACCTTTCTGTGATAACATTAACTTTATTTAAAACAAACAAAAACTTAATAGGTTTGCAGACTTTGTTCTTGGAGGAAGCCACTTGTCACCTGAAGAAATTAAGCTTCATGAAGAACAATACGGTCTTGGGGGTGCCTTTTTGGAAGAGCAGCTCTTTACTCTGGAGACTACCTGACAGTCTATCTGTACATTGACTTCATCTGGACAACAAACTGGGTAAAAACCAAGAATCCTCTTACAGCTCTATGGAAGAATAGCAAAAGCGTTTGCTACGGAGAAAAATCAAGTCACACGGGAAAGGAGAACTGTGTTGTATTGAAGATAACTGAACATTCTTGGCCAGTTCTGCTATTTATTGTAATGCAGGCCACCAAGATTCTATGACTGTTATTACAACTTCCATTGAAGGAAGACTTTCATTAGGAACAAGGGAATTGTGTTGACCTTCAAGGGGCCAGTGAGCATGAGCAGGTGCCTTGTCAACACAGGGCATTAAATCCCCTCAACCCCCAGAACCTGTGTCAAAAGACTGCATTGCTCTTCCTAAATGCTATCAGTATAAGTGTTGGCAGAGACCTGAGATGCTGGATGTATAGCCCACTGATGCTAACAGGTGTTAGGAAAGGGATTCTTGAGGTCAACTAAGGTTGATACAAAGTTATACAAAAGCACTGCAGGACTTCTCAGAACCTTTAATAATGCTAATGCACACTGAAGCTCCTAAAGAGGAAATGTGTGTAGCAGTTTCCATTTTTCAGGAGATTGATACTCCTTGGTACACATGTTTAGAAAATGCTAATGAAGGAAGAACTGAGGTTCGGGAAGGTTAAACAACATGTTGAAGGCCACAAAGCTATTTCAAGGCGGCACTGGAACTAGAGCTTCAGCCCAGGCGTTTTCTATGACTCAGGTAGGAAAGACCTTTAAAAGGCAAGCCAAGAGGTCAACTCGCTACAGCCTTGTGTCTCACAGTATTGGTCACTTTTATTTTTTAATAATGGCCAACTAGTTATTTGGTAACTGTGATAAAGAGAAACATTTCCTAAGATTATATTTTAAAGTTTTGATAAGACTTTTATAGACATAAGGACTAGAAATTAAAATTTTTATATTTTTTTGTATGTTGAAATTGAAAACATTTAGCCTCTTGTGACATTGCAAGTTGACTGGTTCATTTTTAAAACTTGTTTAGTTTCATATGTTTGTAACAATTTCCTACAAAACAGATTTGTGATCTTTCTTACAGAGAACAGATGTTTTTCTTGATTTGTGATGTTAAACTTCAGAGTAAAACTCTGAGGGACTAACTGCAACCTTTGGCCCTGAGCAAAGGAGACCTAAACAGGTCTAAGAAAAGATCTGAACATGGCAAAACAATCTAAGTATTAAGATGTTGCTAAATTGATTCTCTTTAAGAATTAAACTAAGGCGTTTTTGCTGTCATGGAACCATAAAGAATTAGAGGCATGAAGAATGAGGACTTTCACTAGAAGAAAGGTCATGAAGGTGGTGGGATGTGTAGAAAATTTAGGCACTGATTTCCTGAGCCAAATTTAGTAGAGTTGTTTTAAATTGTTGGATAAGAGCATTGCTACCCATTTGGAACTTTCTAGATTGATTTCCCAACATTTGCTCTTTCAGCAGTGTGTCAGTGTTTTACAGGTCTCCGTTTTTGCCAGACACCTTTTAATATTAAGAGCTTTGTTATTTCTGTGAAATGCACTAAATTCAATGTGCTTTCACGTAGACCCTGATTTTAAAAATAAAAGGAAATATCTTCCATTCAGATTTATGATCATGATGTTTTCTAAGTGTAAACAGTCTAACATCATTTTTATTATAGTTCAATTTGATTTTTTTATAGTTACATTTATTGGTGACACCTTATAAATATTTCAGATGCATCAGTGGTTGTGCTCACCACGCTCCTCTCCCAAGAGGCAGATTGTGTCCTACAGAATTGTCAGTGGTTGTTACACAAGAACTGTGAAAAGCTAAACAATTAAAGCATTGCTTGTAATATATTTGGTGTTATTTCTGTTGTGTTTATTTGATTTTGGGTTTATTATAGGGCTGATCTCATACAGATAACTCCCATAAGAGATCTTTTGCCCTCCTTCTCTTCCTCCTTTCCCAGTTTTTTTCTCCCTCCCCCTTCCTTCCTTTATTTAAAGGCCTTTAAATGGTTTAAACAACCATTAAGTAAAATAGCTCTGTCTTTCACAGGTGGTTGGAAATTGGTTTTGTGCTTCACGCTGCTGTCAGAGGTGAGCAACTGTGGAGCCTAACAGAACCCTTTGTTGTGTATTGCTTATGCTAAGTGCCTCACAAAAGCTTTCTGTTGTTAGCAAGCTGGACTATTTGACACCAAAAAGTGTGGGTGAGATATAGTGGAGGTGGCCGTGCTTCAACATTCATATCATTCCATGCTATTTTTAAAAGGTTTTAAAACACATTTCATATATCGCAAAAAATGTTTTGTGTTATATTTGTTTGCCAGTAATACATAGGGATGAATTACAGGAGCGTGCCCATCTGACATTTAGGATATTTGAACTTACACCTTTTATAAAAATTATAAGTTTAAGAGATTTTAGATTTCAAATGCTTTAGAATAGATGATAGGTTATATCAATCTAAACATTTGGATGAATTAAGACCCTTGAAATGATGTCAAGAAAAAGGATCTTATTCTGTATGTGATTATTCCCCAGAGTTAGAGAAGTGCAATTTTTTAAATGCGCTTTTTGTCCCACCGATAGAAGGATCCTGTGTACACGTAATATAATGGATGTGGAATTTTTGAAAAAGCCTGCTGTTAGAAGTATTTTAGGTGACTCCGGGAGCCAGCTGCCTTCTGAGATACCCCACTGAGGATGACATTGATGAGTATGGATGTGAGTCAGCCTAATTGATTCAGAACCTTCACTTTTGTCATTGTACCCTGAGAGGACCTTTCTCACATTAGCCAATTCATATAGTCTGTCCATTTAGTGATTCGTAGTCAACAATGTAACTAGCATAAGGATAAAAACAGTTGAATCTATATAAACAGCAGATTCTCTCTCAGAAGACAGATCTGCAAGGGATCAAATTGTAATAAAAACATTGCTTGATGAACATAAAAGAGGACGTGTTATTATTCACGTCTAATGTCATCAGACCAAAAAGTCTCATGCAAACTCCCCCGAATTGGGACTAGCTTTGCTAAAGTAATACATACCCAGTTTATTGACGAAGACCACCCTTCCTTTATGTAGGCCCTGACAACTTTTTTCTTCCTTGTGACTGCTGTTTTTCTAATAATTTTGTTATTCATCAACATCTGAAATCCCTCCTAGTGCGCATGTTCTTTTAAGGTATGTTAAAATCGTCAGTCTTTCTTGCCCACAATCCCTGAATGTGCTACCTTATTGGATCCCCAGAGATTAGGGATAAGAATATATTTACCAGGATAAATCTTAGGAGGTGCATTCAGTGGGACAGCTGCTTTCATTTATTATTTTAATAATTTGGGGGGGATTTTTTGGTTTTAGATTTGGTCCGTTTTCCTAAAAAGCAGTGATGAAAAGGAGAAAGGGAAAGAGTATTAGTGTTCATTGGAGATCTGTCAGGCACTATACTAGGCACTTTCTGTGCATCTGCATTTTTCAGAATCACTAACACATTTTAGTAGTTTCCACTTTACAGTTGAATAAAGACTTAGAGAAGTAAGAGACAGTTGCTGAAGAATGCGTACATAGCTAAAATGGTAGAATCAGAATTTAATCCCCAGTGTGTCAGTGCCCGTGTCCTTTCTACTGCCTTTATTGCTATCTTTTAAAAAGTTAGTCAAAGAAGAGGCCCCGTAGTGAATCCATTCAAGAAGACTGCATCTGTTGATGTTATGCACATGCCAATCATTTGTGCCTTGTAGTTATGTGTACAGCAGATAATGGTCCACAACAGTGAATCTAAACTAATGATACTCTTGTACAATACACTAAAAATAAATTAGAAAGGTTGAATAATTTTTTTAAAGACACTAAATATAAGCCCTTCCTGATTTCTGGGGCACTGGTCTTCAGAGTCCCGGCCAAACTCTGAGTTTTCTCTGCCAGGCTGCCACACCAGGTCACCTCCAGAGTATATGGGGTCTGACACTTACAACTTACAAAGCAGCTAGACTTCTAGGTATCTGGAACTATCTAGAAATCCTTCAAGGGTGTCCAACCTTTTGGCATCTCTGGGCCTCACTGCAACAAGGGTTGTCTCGGGCCACACATTAAATACATTGTTACACGTAATCACAAAAAAACCCTCAGGATGTTTTAAGTAAATTTACAATTTTGTGGTGGGCTGCATTCATGGCCATCCTGAGCTGCATGTGGCCCATGGGCCGCAGGTTGGACACCCCTGTACGGAAACACAGTCACACAAGTACAGCTACCAGGCACATGAAGAAGGGGTTCAGGCCAGGACTGCTTTCTGGCTTGTTCTACAACAGAAGCAGGAGTGGCCACCATGCATCCTAGGGTGGAGGAAGGAAGGTGCTGGTAGACCTGTACTTTGGCGTCTGGTTTGAGTTAGAATCCTGGCTTTGTGAACTTCGTCCCATAACTAAGCTGTGTTAGCTCTAGAAACTTCATATTTAAAGTGGGGATAGTGATGAGGATAAAATGATAATCTCATCAACACATAACAAGCAACCAGTAACTATTGGGTATGGTTCCCCTTTTCCTGAATTCACTGCTTAACTCCATTTTGTCTGCAAGAAATACTACTTAAGTAATGGGTCCAGCAGCCCCACCCCACTGGTACGGGAGGCACTGCAAATCAGGCGGAAGCGCTGAGCCACCTTTTTGCTTCACGTGGCCAGTAAAGCAGCATTGTCTTCCTGTGAATTGTTTAGGCTTTTCATGAGTTTTACTAGCTACTGGAACTTTGTATATTGTAATCGTCTATTACTTTACTTAAGGCTTTGGTTATAGTTTAATAATTAGCAACCAACCTCTTTGGATCCCCACAAGCTCAGCACTATGGGTAATTTACTTTTTCTACAATCATAAAGGAGAGAGAGTTAAAGCAGTGATTACCAGCCTGGGCTTTGCAACACCCCTGGGTATTTCCAGGGAATTTCAAGAGGGATCATAAAATTCTCAAAACAAAATTTAATTTGAATTCACCTTAATATGTTTTAAAATGGCACTTGGATGACATAAAGAAAAGTCACAGAGTCCACAGACCCATGAAGGTGTCTGCTCTAAAAGGCTGGAAATAACTGCATTACTGACTCAGTCCTCACAGTACAGGTTTCATAACAAAGGCCTGTTGAATCTGGTTTTATCCATTACAGAGTGAAGGACTTCTATTGGTTTGTTCACATCTTTATCATTTAAGAAATATTTAAAAATGGTATTTATTTTTGTCTCAACATATCAGCTGTGCATTTCCAAAACAGCAGGCTTTTCAATGAATAAATCAGAACTGTAAACACAAGATACAGTATACGTTTTTGACTTACTACAGTCAGTTTCACAAATCCACATACTGTACATTCATAGGTGAGATTCAGCCTGTCACACATTTTATTTCTATAATTACATAAGCATAATAAATACATCTGATTTTTAAAGGTCACTTAAAATGAGTCATGATAATTTATAGTACAGTACGTTTCAGTTCAAGTGCAAAAATAATTATTTGCTTAATTCCATTTCTTTTCGTTATTTTTTTTAAGCTGTGTTTTGTGGAGCTAGATATCCAAGTGTGAAGTTTCTTCTCCCAGATGCAGTTTTAGGCAGAAGGATGATATCCTGGAGAAGCTCTTACTTTACAACTGATCCTGTTTAATCAGGGTCAGGAGGTGAAGTGAGTTCCTCTTTTTTAACTCTGTTCTGTTCTTTTCTTTCTCCTGCGCTCATCCACAGCTATTATGTACACTATAATTGACCTTCCCTCAGCTAGAGCAGTGTTCCCTTTTCCACAGCCCTCTTCTAAGGCTTTCTCTTGACCTCAGCTTTCATTT